ACGAAAGGCGTAAGAACTGAGCAATCAGTCACCGGCTCCCAATGGGCGCGATTCCCTGAATTCGCTCCGCTGCCTTGCGGGCAGGCTATTCAGCCAAAGGCTCGGGGTGGTGTCCCCTAAGTCAACACCCTACTTCGGCTTGGGCAACCGGGTAGTATCTCGCCCTCTGAGGAAACCATGGACATTGTTGTGTTGTGTTTTATTCTACTGTTTCTGTACCTTCGTTTAAAACCCATGGTTTCTGAAGGCCTTATGTCTGTTAGCAGGCTTTTGCAAATATATATATATATATATATATATATATATATATATATATATATATATATGCAGGGAATTGGTCCAACAGAACGCCAGTGATATGTTTATGAGGTTACAGTAGACCTGAGTGGCAAACATATCGATGTTGACAATGTGTCGGTTGATTCACCAGCAAGATATGGTCAAGTGAAAACCGAAGCTAAGTTTTGGGGAGCAAGGTGGGTTGAAGATGTAAAGAAAGGATCCGGGTGCTTTACCTACCAAAGCGTCAGTGCTTTCACAAACGAATGGTAGGTGTGCCAGCGGGTGAAACGGAAGTGAAGTTACGATTGGAGAGATAGTTAACCGGATTTGGGAGTCCAGCTAACCAAGTTGCCAGTGATTCAACTGACACATGGTTGCAGTGGAGCCAAGTAAAATCAAGGGGAAGTATAGTGAGCCCAGATGGGATGAAGTGGATAACAGAAGCCTGGACCTCCAACCCATCGATGTATCAGTGGAGCCACTAATCAGCGGTGAGCTTTCGGGCAGGCAGATCCGGAGTGGGCAATAAAAGAGAAGGGTAAGAAGGGAATCAACGGGTGTTTGTTGATCTGACTGATACAGTCATTTGCAACTTTCAGTTATATGTTGTCTGGACCTTGTTCATACGTTTGTTGAATAGTTGTAGGGCAGCGCAGGAGCGTAATCACATTGCTGACTGTAAGATATTCGTCAAGCTTTCTACGAAAGTTATACTCAAATGTGCTAGTACGAATATCGGTCGGCAATTTGTTCCAAATACGGTAGTACCGATTTAGGAAAAAGTTTGTTGATATGTTTGTCTTTGACCTTCTTACCATCACAGAATTTTCTCTATTGCGTGTATTGTATCCATTTGGTTTCATGAGTGATAGATCGATGCTAGGGGTGTGAACATTTTGTGCAGGATATTGAAAAAAAGTGCTAAGTTTACTTTTAGGCGTCGAAGCCATATTGGGTCAAGCTTAAGTAAGTCGCATCGCTCAGAATAGGGTAACACTGAGCTCGTACCAATAAGGCGCTTTGTAAACGCTCTTTGTACCTTTTCTATGGTGATACGATCATGCTTCCTGGAATTGCTATACACCATTGAGCAATATTCAAGTAAAGGGCGGGCGAATGATTCATACATTGAACAAATTGAATCTCGTAGAGTAAGATTTTTGAATAGTAATGCAATGCGTTGTTTAGCTCTGGCTGTTGCATAAAATGCTTGTTCTGAGAAGTTAAGGGAATATGAGTAGCGAAGCCCTAGGTCACAGATGGTCTGACAGATAGTAAGTGGTTTGCTATCTAGGGTCAGAGCATTGTGCTTAACATTGCACCTGTATAACATCGCGCTACATTTGTCAGTGCTGAAAGACATTTTCCATGTTTTGCATCAAGCCTCAAGCGCATGGAGGTCCAGTTGGATTTCCATTAGAGTATTGCTGAGGTTGGTCGGATGGAAGGAGTACACTATTTTGATGTCATCGGCGAAAAGATAAGGTGTGCCGCATTTAACTACGCTGAAGACGTCGTTAACGTACAGTAGAAATAGCAATGGACCAAGAACACTGCCTTGTACCACCCCACTGGTAACAGCCTTGGGTTGAGATTTATGTTGTTGGATTTGTACTATCCGGGAGCGATCTGAGAGATAAGAGCTAAACCAAGCCAGTAAGGGGTCCTTTATACCGTAGGGGTAATAGACAGGTAGGCACCTTGTCAACATGCACATCAAACGCATCCACACCGGGGATATCAAACAACAGCCAAACACTTGAGAGAGAGAAAGCGAAAGAGAAAAACTCGATTAATGCATAAGGAAACGGTGATATAAACCTTAATTAAATAGCATATGTAATAAGTTGTTTACAAACAAATCCTAGGTAAGTGCACAAGGTCAGGAGATATAGTTCACGGAATGCCACGAACACAAATATGCTACGGAAATCGAATACAATTGGCTTAGGCGAGGTGTGCAAGTTAATGGAATAGAGTACTGGTAGACATTTATATGAGAAAGAAAAGCATTAAGGTAAAAACTGTAAACCCACCACCTGAAATAAAGAGACAGCATGCAAGCACGCGGTTAGTAAATCGAAATCAGCGTGCCTACAAACGCTGCGCCGTCCCGCCGTAATTCTCTGCAGGACCCGTCGTCGCTTCTGTAGTGGCCCCAAATGGCCTAGCTCATGGCCCACTAGACATTTATATGAGAAAGAAAGGCATTAGGAGAGAATCGCGTACCCACCACCTGAAATAAAGAGACTTAGCATGCAAGCATGCGGTTAGTAAATCGAATTCAGCGTGCCTACAAACGCTGCGCCGGTGCTGCCTGCGTTCACTGCTGGATCCGTCGGCGCTTCGGCAGTGGTCCCGAGTGACCTCTCTCATAGCTCACTAGGCCTGCCTGACTAAGGCACTCGTGACCGCATGTTCTACAGCACCATGCGCTCGATGTCGATGGAGTACAATTCATTGGTGCTTGCCGCTTCCGCACTTGTCGCTTCTTCTTTGCATGCATGAGGGCTTTCTCTCGCACTTCAGCAACTGCCTTCGTGATTAGATCGCGCCATGAACCACGATCAACCGCCTTCGACTCCCATGATCTGCAATCAAGATTAGAACGTGTGAGGCTCACTTTAATCATGTCCTGGTAACGTAACTTTGGTTTCCCCACGTGCCGCTTCCCTATACTCAGCTGACCGTATAAAAGTTGTTTCAGTATCCGCGCCGAATCCATACGGCTCACATGAGCGAGCCATCTCAGGTGTCTCAGTAAAAGTATGCAGTTCACTGCATACGTCCCACTTCGGCGCAACACTTCCGTGTCTGCAACTCTGGCGCCCCAGCCGATCCGCAAAATTCGTCGCACACACTGCTGATGGAACCGCTCGAGATATCGCACATCCCGACGGTACATCGTCCACGTTTTCACTGCCGTATAGAAGAACGGACAGTACCATGGATTTGTACACCATCAGTTTCGTGCCAATGCTAAGCTGATGGTTGTTCCACACTCGGTACTCTAGCTTCCCGAATGCCGCTGCTGCCATCGACACGCGATTACGCAACTCAACGGGTAGCTGTTGATCAGTCGATATCACACTTCCAAGGTAGCTGAAGCGGGAGGTGGTTTCCAATGCTGATTCGCGGCAATATTGAAGAT